CAAAAAAAACAAAAAAACAAAACCCTGGACCAGGGGCTTTAAAGAGAGGGATGAAGTATTTAGTTACCTTTCCTAATTCTATTCTGGTATTTAGTAATTTCATTTCAATTTCTAGCTTTATGTGGGATGATGCTTCTGTTTAGTTGGAAGGATATCTTTAACAATATCTTCTAAAACCAAAGATTGTCTTGAATTTGTGGTCACTTACTCCCCCAATAAGGTATTCCTTCTCTAAACGTTAGGAATGGATTTGCTATTAGGTCCTAGGAAACTGTCTCCTTTGGGAAGGAGAGGGAAAACAAAACAAAAACAACCCAAACCCATTTGGCTTTAGAGTGTAGCACCTTTAGTCAGGAGCAGTTTCCCGAGTGTGTGCAGGGTGGGTTGAGAGTCCTGGGACACTCAGAAAGTCTGTTCACCGGAAGCACCGCGTGCAGTCTGTTAGGATCTCTGCAGTTAATCATTAAATGAGGTGGCTTTTGTTAGGTGTCAATATGCATGCTTAATGTGAGTCTGGAACTTTTAAAAGTCATCGTCCCAAACAGTCAAGTTTGTCAGAAGTGTCCTCGTAGTTCATATGAAGTGGAGCATAAAGAATGCGCTTTAATATTGGTAAACGTGTGGGAGTAGATTAAATCTGTTTTAATACAGAAAGTATGTAGATGCCATTGAACTTGAAAGAGTAGCATGACTTTATTTATGTGTCATGCCAGACCAGAGCTAACTTTTGATATGTGACTTGAACTTAGAAGATACGTATCAATCATGCATGTATGAATATAGTTACTCAAACCTATAAAAAGAAGACATACAGTTCATTAAAATGTGGGTCACCTTAAAATCTGAGGGGATTATTAATGACTAACATGTTGTGTTTCTGATGATCTGAGATGAGCTTTGATCATAGTAAAAGCATTTAAACTTTTCTTTCTTTAAAAAAATTTTTAAGAGATTGAAAATATACATGGGCCTTTTCTGGAAACCTTTTCTTTGAAACTATAGCACATATAACGGCTTGGTAATACTGAAACATTTGCATGTTTACTAGAGAGCAATGCCTCCTGAGCAGATCGCTGTGGACCATTTTGGGAAGAGCACAATAGCACAGTAATTAAAATACTGAAGGAAAGTATCTATGGCTGGAGCTGGATCGATCATAGAAATTAGTGACATTTATGTGTATTTGGTGAAAAAAAAATCCCATTTTCTAATTTAGAACAGTTTCTTCATTACTTAAAATCATTTTCAAATAGAAGAAATTGGAGAAAAAAAGAAAGAAAAAAAGAGAGAAAGCAAGCAAAGGAAAAACAAACTATATCTTAAGAAAATCAGATTTGTAAAGTTATTTCTACCTGGCTTTGACAAAGGTGGTTCTAGATTCAGTATGTCAGGAGGGAGAAACGACAGCGGTTTATAGCCAACGTACAGTCATAAGGCCCGAGTCTCTTACGTAAAATTTCAGATCTCTTCAAAATCCCCAAGATTTTGCAAGTGAATAATCTCAAGAGAAGCTGATGTCTGCTGGATGAGTGTTTCCTTAGGTCTGACTGTTCCCGAAGCACTAACTGCAATTCTTACCTCGGATGTTACTTTGTAGTTTTCTCCGTGGCCTTTTATTTACCACAAGAGGGTAAAGTTTATTCACTGAGTGATTTTGACACCATGGCACAACTGAGTTTTCCAGCCAAGTTGTTTTCATGTCTCTCTACCATTTTGAAAAAAAAAAAAAAGGAGGGGGGGAACAAATTTGAAATGAAAACTCCAATTTAGATTGGCCTATGTACCACCCTGGGTACCAGCTAGCTATGTGTTAATATACCCCGGCCAGGGGGTGAGGTGGGGGGTCCTGAGCCTGAAGATAAAGGAGCTGAGGCATTTCTGGGGCTCCTTACAATAAATGACATCAAACTGGATGAAAACCTTCAGCAAAAGGCAGAGAAATTAGAGGATATGTTGGGGCACAAAGAACTTTTGCTTTTCATAGTAAGTGTGAAGTCTAGAAAAATGTGGTGATTTCTCACGTTCTATTTATATGTTATTTTACTTGAGGGATGCCTTGAAGCAGTGCTAGAACCACTTCTGTGCTCAGGAAGGGAGGGGAGTGCCTCGTCATTTATTCCGTTTGCTATGTCAGGTACAGTAAAAATAATACTGTAGTGAAAATATGACAGGCGTTCTGTAGGCTTGACCAGCATGCAAGGGTTTTGAATGATTGACGCGCTGTTGTTTAAAAGTCAGTCAAATAACACCTCCAAGAATGAGGCTATCAATCCTCATGTTGTTTTTAATGTATTAATACATATATATTTTTTTAATCTCTCCAAAAATAACAGTGAAGCTTTATAAGCAAGAAACAAATCGAAACCTAAGTCTGCATCTCTAGTCTGAATATTTGCATTCTGGACTGATGGTCTTTAAAATAATAAATTAGTTTTGTTGTTCAAATTATGAAAATCTAAGGATTGAATGGCTCAGAAATTCCCCACGATGTCAAGATCTGTGGTGTTTGTCTGATAGTCTCTCTTCCCGGGTTGCTGCTGCTGTACATGCTCTCTCACATCGGGACTAACCTAGAATCATGAACACTCGAAGCTGGCAGGCACACAAGTGTCTTCCACGTCACTCACTCTGGTAAGAAACCGGCCCAGGCAAGATGTAGGAGAGAGAAGCAGATTCAGGTCTTTGCACATACTCCACACATTCCCCAAACCTTGGGTGGGTCTCATTTTACAGATGGACATCTTCTCTCTTTAGAGGCACAGGATGGTCAAATCCCTTGCTTTAGGTTCATCAAGGCTGAATCTGAATCTCCACCCTGGCCATACCTCTGTGATCAAATTCTCACTTGTCATATGTGCCACGGTTACCTTGCCCGGGGTCTGCTACAAACTGTTACTATTGGAATCTAGACTGGAATGCTGTCTTTTCCTCGACTTTGGCCCAATCCAACTGGTCTCAATACGGCAGGGTACTCTCTGCTGGGGTCTGGGCTGTTTGACGTCCTCTCCTTCCCCGCAAGAACTGAAACCCAACAGCATCTCCCCAACTCGTGTTTTCCCTTCATGCCCCCAGCTAGGAAAGAATTGCTTGGGTTTCAAAACAACAACAACAACAACAACAACAACAACAAATGTTATTTGTTCAGCCACAACGAGGCAGTGCTCAGTCCTGGCAGATCCGGCCGGGGAATGACCAGAGTACTTCCGGACATAGGAAGGCAGAGGAGAAGCGTTGGTCAGGTGCTGAGGTGCCAGCCTTCGGGATCCTCAGAACTCTTCTGCTGCCCAAGTGGGAGACTCCGTGTTTCCCCTGCTGGCCCCGTTTTCTTAGACTATTTCTCACTCCCTCTCACCATCATCTACTGGAAAGAAGCTTCAAAGGAAAGTCAGGAAGACATATTCATGCCACGCAGGAGGAGTCCTCCTCTGCCACATTCGTTTCTTCATTTCTAAGAAGAACAGAATAATACCCTATCACTTTTTCCTTGGCACAATGTGAACATGGATGTACACATCATTTTCCTCGTAGAGGAAAGATGCTCAGTAGATTTTTAGGGAGCAATACTACTATAAAAATAATTTGTTTTTACACCAAGATAAAGTTTTTTTTTAATCACAAGCCTTCCCAGCCTTCCTTTTTTTAATGTAGATCTCTCTCTCTCTCTCTCTCTCTCTCTCTCTCTCTCTCTCTCTCTCTCTCTC